GTCCCGAGGTAAAATAACCCCCCGAGCAATTCTTATTGCGACATTGAAATCCTTAATTGCAGAATCCTTCGCAGTAATTTGTCTTCTTTTTCGCCTTAAGGATTGGTCTGAAAGGAGGAGTCACAGGTTTGGGGGAAAGATTCGCTTCAGCCTCAGCTATCTTTCTCTTCTTTTTGGGAGTTGGANTGAAAGGAGGAGTCACAGGTTTGGGGGAAAGATTCGCTTCAGCCTCAGCTATCTTTCTCTTCTTTTTGGGAGTTGGATCATCGGTGAGTTCGAAAAGTGAATCATCTTGTGGAGAAGGAGAACGAACAGTATCAGAAGGGCCTAACTCAATTGGAATTGAAGTTTCAATAGTCTGAATTGTATCTGCTAGTCCATTGGTCGACAGATCGGTGTTATCAGGTAAGGAAGTTTCAACTAGAGCATCACAAATAAGTTCCTCAAGGATGGAGGTCGGGACCTCGGGAATATTTGGAGTTGGTTTAGTAGAAGGAGTTGGTTCGACATTTGATAAAAAATCAAGGATATTTTTTACCGTCCTGCGTCCAGACGCCACAAGAGAAGACTTGTTCTTGGCTCCAGGTGTTTGTGCCCGAGCAGTCTGGATCGTTTCCCGATTTGCAACCAAAGTGGCATTGGGTCAGTTTGGCACGACAATGAATGAAGTGTAAGTAGGAGTGTACCTGAGCAGCGTGTGGGCGGATCGGCAGAACAGACTCTCATTGAAATTCCAGACTTTTTGAAGTTGGTCCATCTTGACAGAGGACTCANGAGTGTACTTGAGCAGCGTGTGGGCGGCTCGGCAGAACAGACTCTCATTGAAATTCCAGACTTTTTGAAGTTAGTCCATCTTAACAAAGGACTCAATGATCCTTCCCTTCATAGTTTCACCTGTGCAGAAGAAAACCCAAGTCAGAAAAATAGAAAATCGAAGCTAAAACAGAAGGGTAAAAGACATTAAATACCTGACATGCCTTCTTCATATGGACAACGGTAGGAGGGAACAACCCCAACAGCGTACTCCCAGTTCCCAGAAACAAAGACGATATCATTCTCATGACCTTTGTTGGAATCTGGAAGATGGGTGACTAGATAGTGGTCCTTCTTTCTCATCGAAAAATAGTAGCTATCTCTAGCAGCTTTGATGATATAGTAGTACATGATGTCCCATAAACCAAGACTCAAACCTAAGATTTTGTTCATCGCAGACACCCCCATGACTATCCTAAAGAAATTGAGGCAGCATTGGAAAGGGCAGAATTTTGCAGTAGAAAGAACCCAGAGAAGAAGAGGATCGAGGAAAAAATGGATTCTACCCTCAATAATGGCACGAGTGGGGATGAGAATTCTCTCTCTGGTGCCTATCAAGGGTTCATCCTTCCAAGCAATCCTGACCTCAACATCGTCTGGGATGTTGTACTTGATTTTGAAGGTAGGAACTTCTAATGGAGTAAGAAGAGCCATGAAGAAGATGAAGTGCAGAGGAAGAAAAACGTAGAAAGAAAAGAATACGCATCTGAGAGTCTGGTAGCAGAAAAATAAAAATACGAAGAAAGACGGTTTATAAAGAAGAAGGAATTTTAAAGGGCAACATTTAAATGCTCTGAATGTGCCGCCAAAACAAAAAGGCATGTTAAAAAGTACAAGTGATGATGAATCGATAAGAAAACGGCTGACAGTCAAAAAGCATCTGTCAGATGTTTTTTGGGAATAATGAAAGGGTTAAACATCATGATTACACGTGACATGATATTAAATGTGCTCACGTGATGTTGACAAGACAAGACACGTGATAAGAAATCTTCTATTAAGCCTTTTAACCAAATCGAGCTAATTAAAGGTTCGACAATCAGAGAAAGAGTTCGATTCTCTTTACAATCGAACTCATCAATCTGTTCAGCTAAGCAAGAAAAGAGCTTGACTTGTACCAAGCTGAGTTCATTAAAGTGTTCGGGAAGGCGATAGAAGAGATCGGTTTGTGCCAAGCTAGGTCCCTAAAACTGTTCGACAAATATCAAGTCTGCTCAGTATTCACTATGTCCAAACTGTTCAAAACGATAGATGGAAAGATAAAAATTCGCTTATAACTTAGGCAATCAGATAAACGAATCAAAGAAATTGAAGATATCAAAAGAAAAATATTGGAGAAATATCAGCAACTTCCCAAATTGAATCACTGAATTGAAGGAAGGTGTGCCACCTTAAATCAAAAATCACGACAACCCTAAGGGGATGACCATCTATAAAAAACAAAAGGAGCCAACAAGAAATGTACGCTGAACCCTTCTTGTCTTCTTCCATTTGTTTCATTATCTTTACTGACTTAAATATTGGAGTGCCTTCGATCGAAGCACTTCGATCTTGGGCAGTTATTCGTTTTGCAGAAAGAAGAAGACTTGGAGATCAAGTTCAGAAACATATTAATATTCTAATTCCAGTAGGAGGTATTCTCGATTTTTTGTCTCTTATAGTTTTTTTTATATGAAATTAATGTGTACATAATATACAGACAAATAAGATACATTTTAATACAAATAATTAACTTTTCATCCACTTTCTTTCCAATTTTGAAGGGATTAATTTTGGTGAGTTGGAAGAAAATTTAATTCATCCAAATTTTCATCATTCTTATTTTTCTTCCTTACCAAAGACGATATTTTATTTATCCCTCTAATTTTTTATCCTTGAATATATCCTTCTGAAGTTGTTAATCTAATTAATTATAACTATTAAATGGGTAGAGAATAACAATGAATACTGTGAATCATAATTAGATCAATAAATTAAATTTAAATAGCATTTGTCAGAACAATTTGGTGTGTATAAATTGTTTAGTGATTATTTGAAGATAACAACGTAATTAACAAGTTCATATAAATGGTGTATCCATTGACGGTGTTGGCTTGTCGGGAAAGGAGGAAGCTAATCAGATCTTGACGCGGAAATTGTGCGAGCCTGGGCACCACGTGTCAGACATTTTGGTCCACACGTGCCGATTCTTCTCTCGCACGCTTCCTAAACGCGTTTATGTTCTCTCTCTTTTCCTAGCTTTTCAAGGAAGTTTGTGTTCAGGAAATTAATTACAACAACGAGTTCACATTACTTTGTCTTTTTTTTTTATTCTCTGTTAGGGGTTTATCTTTAAGCTCATATTACTGAATTGCCCTTTAATAGCATAAGAATTTTATAATTTAGTAACAAATGAAAGGTTAAACTATCTACGATATGATCCACTCACATCAACATCAATGACTTTCACATGGTATCTCAAATTCTATGACCTTATGATTTGAAATTTTATTCCCACACCAAATATTATAGAAGGCTGGATTTGAATTTAGACTTATCTTTTGAATGTCAATGATTAACGAAGATCAAACTAAAAAATGATTCATTAATAGATGAGATTTAGTCTCGTCGAAATCGACTGAAGTTTATGGGATAACATATATAGACATTGTTCTCCGAGGTTCCATTTTTAGTGCCCAACAAGTAAAGCTTAATCTATATAATGGTGGTCCTTCCCTATATATATATTTGATCAGTTTTGTGATGTGGCTGGTGACAAGCTATGTATCATCCTAGCTAAGGCAGTTCTCATGCATAACTTGAAAATAGTGTGTGAAGAGCACTCTAGTTGGCAAAGTATTATCACAATAAAGCACTCTTGATCATGGTGTAGACCCATGACCATGCAACTATTCTATCTTAAAAAGTTGAGCGGCCAAGCTATATATGGAGTAATATGCACTTAAAGAGAAAAGGCACAAACTTTAGAAAGAATCAAAATAAATGATGGGAAAACTAAATATAGCACCATATCATAAGTTAGTCAATTGGACATCAGCTCATTTTCATCAAAACCACTTTTAAAAAAAAAATAATAAACCTTATCATGCCCACACTCGCCGTTGAAGACCTCTAAATAATTTTATCGTCATCTGAATTTGTAAAACCAAATAATATTAAACATATATAAATCTCTCAATTCATTGACAAATAAAAGTAGAGACCTCACTTTATTAATTTTAATTGTGTCATGGACTCATGGCAATTTGAAAAAATTTAGTGAAAATCAAATGGTCTAGACAATTGCTCCAAAATGAAAAGTAAAAAGAATATATAATTTTTTTCACGAAAATAGAAAGAAAGGTATCAAACCAATGTAATATCCTTGTAAGAAATCAGATCCACACCCTAATCCTAAGGTCATTCATTTGAATCTATAATATATGCGAAGATCACCAAATTACATAGATCATTCTTCGATCACCCCCGATGTTATAATGAAAAGAGAAAAGAAAAGAAGATAGACAAATGAGAAAAAAAAAAAAAAAAGGAGGAACACAAAGGGCCCAAGGACATTCTTGTAATCCACGGAAGAATTTTCCGTTAAAGTTGAAAAGGAAAGCCGCGAAAAAGAAAAATTACAAAACCCAAGGTTCCATGCACACGAGCCAATCCTTTTTGTCATCCCACGTGTAACCGGAACTCCGTTCACACTCATCCGGTTACCGGTCAACAACACCGCGTATGAGAGCGTCGACTGTTCTGCCGGACCACTTAGTCGGTACTATTACATTAATTGCCACCAGGACCACGGTCAGTAAATATTTGTAACCGCGATAATGCCTTATGTCATCTATCAATAATAAAATATTAAATAAAATAATTAAATTTTAGTATTTTAATGTGATATTATAAGTAATTATTAAATTAATTATAAAAAGTAGTTTGAGTGACAACAGAAATTTTAAATTCGAATTTTAATAATTTTTTTAGTCTATAATATGAAAAATTTATTATTTATAAATTTTAGATTAAAATTAATTGAAATTATGGTGAGAAATATCGGTCTCTGCATCTTGAAATGTCTCCGTACACATTGACCACCGGCATCTGCCGGTTAACCCCGCCCGCAGCCAACCTGTTCTCCAAAACCATTCTAGAAGGGAACAAAAAAAGTCTTCACACTTCAAAATCTCAAAACCAAACAGTCTCACTCTCTCTCTCTCTCTCTTGCTCTATCTCTATCTCTATCTCTATCTCGGAATAAGGCTAGACTATAGTTGAATATGCTTTTGATCAACCCATGGAGAACAAACCGGAGCTAAAGACAGAGAATTCTATGGCAAATTCGACATTTTCCGATCTGATTCCGGCAAAAAGTTTTGCTTTACCGAACATCTTTGAAATGACATGTGATGGTGAAAAGGGCTCTTTTGGCTTCATGGACATGTTGGGAATCCAAGATTATAGTACTAGTTCTTCATTATTCGATTTGATTGAGACACCCTTGATGCCAACACAATCACAACCTCTTCTATCGCCGGGTTCGACTGTTCCGGAGTCATCTGAGGTGGTAAATACCCCGGCAACTCCGAACTCTTCATCGATCTCTTCATCTTCAACAGAAGCTGCAAATGATGATCAGCAGGCCAAAACAGTTGAAGAAGAAGAGCAGGACCAAGAAAAGACTAAGAAAGAGTAAGCTTATCAAGCACACAATATGAAAATATATCACTTTTTGCAAAAAAAAAATTTATTATCAATTACGTTACAGTGCTAGCTCTGGGTAAACCATGAATTAAAAGTATAGATTTAAAATTTCCTACCATGGGGAGATTTTGATTAATGGTGTTTATATGATTACAGTGAAATATGGGGTTTGATTTTTCTGGTATTGCCGTTTTTTCTTTTCTTTTTTTTCTTTTTGATGTAAACAAAAAGTTTTTTTTTTTTTTTTTGTGGATTAGGTTAAAACCAAAAAAGAAGAACCAGAAAAGGCAAAGAGAACCAAGATTTGCGTTCATGACAAAAAGTGAGGTTGATCACTTAGATGATGGTTATAGATGGAGAAAGTACGGCCAGAAAGCTGTGAAACATAGCCCTTTTCCAAGGTATATTTCGGCATCCTCATATGGTTCCTCTCTCTCTCTCTCTCCCCCCCTCTCTCTCTATATATATGTGTGTGTGTGTGATCTGATTCCTTTAGTAGTACTTTTGATTCAGAATATGAGTGTGAACTAAATCTGTGTGATTATTCATCCAGCTCAACATAAATTAAAATATTACAAAGAAATGAATTCTGGGAAAATGAGAAGAATGCTTAGATTGAAATGAAAGAAACTCTATAAACAATGGTCTATTTGGGGGCTCTCTCACAAATAAAAATAATTCAACTCGAAACTATCGTTCTTCTGCTCATTACATATGTTTTAAATGGAGTGGAAATTAGCCGTTAACCTAGCTATTACAGAATTAGTTAGTTAGAGAAAAGAGATTAATTTCATGTCATAACATGATTTTACAATAATTATAGTTCGATTTTTTGTTAAATTTTTTTTGGGGCATGCATTGTTTGTTATTACAGGAGCTACTATCGTTGCACTACTGTAGGATGTGGTGTGAAGAAGCGAGTGGAACGATCATATGCTGATCCATCCATTGTTGTTACGACCTATGAAGGTACCCACACACATCCTTGTCCTGTGACACCTCGTGGAAGTCTTGGAATTCTGCCGGAAACTGCCGGTTTTGGTGGCGGCGGTGGTGGTGGTGTTGGTAATTCCTCTTTTGTCATTCCACAATCACACTATCAACATCATGTTCAACAACAACAACAACGACGACAACAGTCCTATCTCCATAACTCGACACCTTCGTTGACCTTTGGCACTACTAATTTTTCATCTCCTTCTTTGCTTCAAGAGAGAAGAATTTCCCACTATACTTCCTCTTTGCTTAGAGATCATGGACTGCTTCAGGATATGGTGCAGTCCCAGATGCAAATGGAACCGAAACAAGAGTAGAAAAGAGTTAGCCATTATTATTCCGTATGTAACTCTCTCACTGACTGATGAAGTTGGGTTTATCTTTATATAAGAACCCACTTTTCTATTACATAGAGACCTCTCTGATTATCTTTGTAAAATGTCTAGCCTTTAGCTTATGGACGGACTAATTTCAGGTTAAGGTTCTTCTAATTTTTTGTAATTTGAGTTTTTGTTATTATGGAGATTTAAACTTTAGTATATCTAGATCTTTTTCTTAATCCTCTTTAAATTATGCCCGTTTCTCATTCCGTTTTTCTTGTGCCTCCTCTTCTTTGGTTGGATTCGTATGCAATAAATCCCAAAGGTAGCTTCAATGGTAACATATAGGAGTTATAAACTCAAATGTTTTAAATTCGAATCTTGATAATTTTTTGGAGTCGGGAGATAATTATTTCTTATGAATACTCTAATTCTAGCGTGGATGGGTTGACTGTGATCAGACCTGAGAGAGTATTAATTGAAGTGTGCGTAAGCTAGTCAAAACACTCCTGACTATAGGGAAAAAAAATTGTATGCAATAACATTGTCAATTGGTATAAGAACACCAGAATATCTGTGGTTGGGGTTTCTCTATAATCAAGGTGGGTGAAACTTTTCAACTTTTTTCCTTTAGGGGAACCTCAGGAACCCATTATGGAAATCAAGATGAGAATGAATGTGAGAACTTGATCCCTTACCATACAAATATGCAAAGAAACTTGAGAAACTTAACAAGGATAATTAATTTTAGTAATCTAGTAAAGATATTTGTTTGATTTAATGGATGGTTCATATTCACTAAATCTTGACTCCCAAGGTTGAATAGTAGGTTGAGTGTGTTCACATATGTAACCCCCACTTTTTGGAATGGATGCATTTGGTACGGTAATGACGTGTCAAGTGATGAAGTCCAATGAAGAAGTTCAAGAGTTACAATCACAACAATATTATTGGAACACATCATTGTATTATCATTAAGTTAGTAAATTAGGTTAATTTTTTAGGTTGCAACAACATTAATCATAGTTATAGTGCACTGGGATTAAATTTTCAACTGGTGCCATTGTATTAGTAGACACACTTCTATTTTTCTTTCATAGTTGAGAAAAAGCTACCCTTGTTGATGTAGATAGTATGAACAATGCACATTTGCACATATTATGTCACCCATATTAGATCCTTTAAGCATTGTTCATAAATTTTAGGGTATTCATTAATTGCGAGTAGAGTTGCAGGGTCATTGTCCACAGGACAGTGCAAACCCTAGGAATGTAATAGTTCACTCGAGTGTGCTGCTACTTATGGCCATACATAATTTCTGGCAAAGTTGTGTAGAAAGTGGATTAGATGGAAGGTCGATTCAGTGGTACAATATCTACCTTTATCTCATCCTGGGGAGAACACATACAGCATAGCACTGATTATGCAAGAAGAGGACACATACATTTGCTAGCTATCATAACTGTTAGCATATATACATGTGTTTGGTGGTGGTTGATGGTAATTAAGTATGTAATAATCATTTTTATTGCCATCAATTGTCTAATTCTACTAGTATATGATTTATCATTCATGAATATTTTGTGGCATTTTCAATTCTCAATTGTCCTCACTCATCACCACCACCATTACTACTACCACCAACACCATCCCATCTCCACTCCGGGTCAGGTTCGAGGTTGGAGTCCGAGACGTGTCCAAGTTCGAGTCTAGGACCAGGTTTGTATCCAGGGTCCATAATTGGGGTTGAGTTGGGTCCGGGACTAAGGTTAAGATCCAGGTCAATGTTGGGTCTGGGTCTGAGGTTAAAACCTAGGTTGGGTGTGTCTCTGGGTCCAGGGTCAGGTCTAGGTCTGGGTGGGGGGATTATCTAAATATTTAAGTGATGTTTTAATTTTATTCTAGCTTTTAATCTTAGTTGTTACTAGACATTGAAATGGTAATGTACATTCTATTTTATGGAGAACATGATTTCTAAAACTCTTTTAAAAAAATATGTTTTTAATTACTTTTTTTGAGAACATGCCTAAACAGACTTAAAATACGTCTATATCTGTAACACATCATTTGGTCGTTATTTTTTATCCTATTTTTTCCCATAACAAAATCCATCACTGTTATTGGATTAACAATTTATCCAAATATTGTATTATTATTACTATGTAAAACCCAAACGATAGTATTTGATTTGAGAGGAAGAACAAATGTCATGATACAAAGGGGATGTGATTAACTAATGGGCTGCAATTTGGTCCGAATTGAAGGCCTGTTCGACCCAATTAGCCATTCTATCTTTCCCTCCTCCTCTCTTCATTAATGGGCTGCAAATGGGCCAAACATACACATTCATCAATCATCCCACCCACTGTACTGAACTATTGATCTTCAATGACTTGTCATGATGTTTTCAAGATTCCCTCTGACTATTATTGGACTCTCTCTAATCACTTAATTTCTGTAATCCATCCAGTAATTTCAACATGATCTTACTAATTATGGAGAAGTTGTTGCACCACCACTTCCCCAAGATTAGTAAAGGGAATAACTGCTATACAGACTTCGAGACAAACCACTCCCAACTGCCCCCAAAAGCTTTCACTTCCTCTCTCCTCAAGGAAACTTTGCCGTCTCTCTGGAATGAAGCATTGGAGCACATGGCATTAGATGAATAGGTAAAGTTCCCATGTCATTCTGTAAACTGACCTCTTCTATGGTTTGACACTGTCTTCTAACCACTCTCCTCTACATATTATTCAAAGCAGCTTCTATATATATATATATTGTTGAGAACCACTTCATAGCTAAAACATTGTTGGTTGCCAGTTATCTGGTTAAGATTTCAAAATGGCTATGCACTTAGCTTTATGTTTACTCATGCTCAGGCTTTCAATTGCATTGGCAATCAACAGCCCAAATACATTAAACGAAACATGCATTGATGGTACCACTGTCACACTAAGCTTTGGTATGTACCTAGACAGTTGCCCGGAGGCAGAACCGATCATCTTCTCTTGGGTTGAAACCGCTGTAGCTCAGGATCCTAGAATGGCAGCTTCTTTGCTTCGCCTCCATTTCCATGATTGCTTTGTTAATGCAAGTCTATGATTCATTTTACGATTGCTTTTAATTTCATGTTACTACTTGACATTTAAAAAAATTGTAATGAATATTTAAGTTTTTCAGGGATGTGATGCATCAGTGTTATTAGATGACACACCAAGCTTTGTTGGCGAAAAAACTGCTGCACCAAACTTGAACTCATTGAGGGGGTTTGAAGTGATTGATACCATAAAATCTGATCTTGAAGCAGTTTGTCCTGAAACTGTCTCTTGTGCTGATATTCTTGCTATTGTAGCCAGAGACTCTGTTGTTTTGGTAGGTTGTTGTGTCAGCCACTTTATTTCCCTTCCTATGTAGAACTAAGAGTACTATGGTACCAAACTGTAAATTTTTAAGCAAACAAGAGTTAGTTATAACTCATTTGAGATCAAGTTACGGTTCAAAAAAGTGAGTTATTACTAAAGCATAGGTTTGGATCAATCCTAAAACGTTATAATCAACCTCAAACAACCCCCATTATGTAACAATCTCGTTAGTTTAAGTAGTAACTTCACTTTTACCTTCTTGTGCTCTTCAATATGACACTAGAAAATAATTATTCGTTACTATACTCTTATCCCCATGTAAATTTGTGTCTTGGGAATGTTTTTATGGTCTGATTTTCAGTCAGGAGGGCCTGGTTGGGAAGTGCAGACGGGAAGGAGGGACAGCTTAAGTGCTAGCAAAACAGCCGCTAATAACAACATTCCAGGCCCTAATTCTGATGCAGCCACCCTAGTGGCAAGGTTCCAAAATGTTGGCCTTTCACTCAGTGACATGGTTACTCTCTCTGGTAACTTTTTTTTTTCCTCCTATGTAAATCTTTTGCTTACGCTCAGATTGGTCCAAAACATTAGGCGCGTTTGGTTGCTGAGAATATACCCTTCTGATTTTCCTTTTGTAGGTGCACACACAATGGGAAAAGCTCGATGCTCAACATTTAGCTCCAGGCTAAATGGTACAAGCAATGTAAATAGTCCAGAGGTTAACTTGAACTTCCTCGAGTCGCTCCAACAGCTATGCTCAGAAACTGACAGCAACACGACCCTAGCACAACTAGACACTGTAACTCCATCAACATTCGACAACCAGTACTATGTTAACCTCATTTCCGGGGAGGGATTGCTCGCGTCGGACCAAGCCCTGGTGGCTGAAAACGACCTTACTCATGAAATAGTCGAATATTATGCCAATGACCCGACAGTGTTCTTCGAGGAATTCAAGAGGTCGATGCTGAAAATGGGTAGCTTGGGATCACTGACTGGGGAGAGTGGTGAAATCCGTAGGAACTGTAGAATTGTTAACCAGTTCTAGTTTTCTATAAGCCTCTAAAATTAGTGGAAAAATGTTGCCTATGCTTGTTATGGGAAGCTAATGTTAACAAAAAAACTTATTTACTATTATGATTTATGTTGATTGCGGTAGGCCTTATTTAGGCCCACTTACACAAGTAAGATGGGTTTACATTAAAAATTATTTCAATCACGTATCTTTTGAATGAATTGATAAATAGTGTAATCTCAGTATTTGTCATACGACATTCAGGTATTATAACCCGTTAGATAAAAGTGTCGAATATATAGATATTACAAGTACATAAAAGAAGGTAAGGTCTATTTTAATCTTTATTGACAATGATTTTCCATGTAAGAGTTTTACATTGGAAATGAACATGACAAGGTCTAGGTCTAATGGAGGTTAATAATACATGTGCTTTCTTCCTCACCAAACTGAAATGAAGTCCTTACATCATACATGGCTCCAGCCTTCATAGAGGGAAGCCAACCCCACAGCAGGCCGATTTTTATAAGGAGAGCTGCATTAAGAAAGAAGACAAACAATATAGTCCACATTTTGTGGGTAAAAATAACTTAAATGGAGNGGCTTTTATAAGGAGAGCTACATTAAGAAAGAAGACAAACAATATAGTCCACATTTTGTGGGTAAAAATAACTTAAATGGAGTCCATATATGTTTGGTGAAACATATGAAATATCGATTCTAAGATCATCAATATAATCCAGAACGAGAGCCAACTTGATACGAGGCTCTTCTCACATTTAGAGTTTCGGAATTCATTCTTTTCTCCTTCTAACAAAAAATAAAAAAATATTCACCAAGTATGGCATGAAAGTGTCATACAACACTTAGAGCATCTCTAACAATGCTATTCAAAATAGCTACTCAAAATATATTTAAATATTATATTATCTACTTTAGTTAATCATTTTTTCAAATTCACTCTAACAACGCTATCTATTTAACTAAATAGTTCAACTAACTTGAACTAACTTTCAATAATAAAATTTAAAAAATAGTAATTTCACTATACATTGTACAAATTTAATCAATTATAGGTTACAAGAGAGAATCCACATTCCGAAAATTACTACTCCCAAACTAAATTCTCTCAAATTAAATCACAAAATCCAAAATAAAATTACGTCAAAACTTTTGAGATTGATTGAAAACTTCTGAAGGCTTCGAGTTTGATCAAACTAGATGTCATCGTCTCTCCATCGATCGTCTCATCTAAGCACTAGACCAATAACTTCTGAAGTAGCTAGTTAGATGTAACTAGTGAAAATAGAGTTATGAAAAATAGATAGGAGAACAGCTAATCCGTTGTAGCTATATTTTAGGAAGAAACTATTTAAAATAGCTAAAAAAAAAATTTAGCTGGAGTTTTATCTAAAATTTATCACAACACTTACTTGTCTGACACACATTGATTATATAAAAAGAACAATATTTTTATATGTGGCGTGCACTACATGGCACAATTGCTATGTTATATGCGGTAAACATCGAAAATTTTCTCCCTCCAAACAACTCCAAAGTCTCACACCCTCGTGGAAAACAATCAATGTTGATTTAAAATAGTTTTTTTTTTTTNTTTTCTTGTGCCTCCTCTTCTTTGGTTGGATTCGTATGCAATAAATCCCAAAGGTAGCTTCAATGGTAACATATAGGAGTTATAAACTCAAATGTTTTAAATTCGAATCTTGATAATTTTTTGGAGTCGGGAGATAATTATTTCTTATGAATACTCTAATTCTAGCGTGGATGGGTTGACTGTGATCAGACCTGAGAGAGTATTAATTGAAGTGTGCGTAAGCTAGTCAAAACACTCCTGACTATAGGGAAAAAAAATTGTATGCAATAACATTGTCAATTGGTATAAGAACACCAGAATATCTGTGGTTGGGGTTTCTCTATAATCAAGGTGGGTGAAACTTTTCAACTTTTTTCCTTTAGGGGAACCTCAGGAACCCATTATGGAAATCAAGATGAGAATGAATGTGAGAACTTGATCCCTTACCATACAAATATGCAAAGAAACTTGAGAAACTTAACAAGGATAATTAATTTTAGTAATCTAGTAAAGATATTTGTTTGATTTAATGGATGGTTCATATTCACTAAATCTTGACTCCCAAGGTTGAATAGTAGGTTGAGTGTGTTCACATATGTAACCCCCACTTTTTGGAATGGATGCATTTGGTACGGTAATGACGTGTCAAGTGATGAAGTCCAATGAAGAAGTTCAAGAGTTACAATCACAACAATATTATTGGAACACATCATTGTATTATCATTAAGTTAGTAAATTAGGTTAATTTTTTAGGTTGCAACAACATTAATCATAGTTATAGTGCACTGGGATTAAATTTTCAACTGGTGCCATTGTATTAGTAGACACACTTCTATTTTTCTTTCATAGTTGAGAAAAAGCTACCCTTGTTGATGTAGATAGTATGAACAATGCACATTTGCACATATTATGTCACCCATATTAGATCCTTTAAGCATTGTTCATAAATTTTAGGGTATTCATTAATTGCGAGTAGAGTTGCAGGGTCATTGTCCACAGGACAGTGCAAACCCTAGGAATGTAATAGTTCACTCGAGTGTGCTGCTACTTATGGCCATACATAATTTCTGGCAAAGTTGTGTAGAAAGTGGATTAGATGGAAGGTCGATTCAGTGGTACAATATCTACCTTTATCTCATCCTGGGGAGAACACATACAGCATAGCACTGATTATGCAAGAAGAGGACACATACATTTGCTAGCTATCATAACTGTTAGCATATATACATGTGTTTGGTGGTGGTTGATGGTAACTAAGTATGTAATAATCATTTTTATTGCCATCAATTGTCTAATTCTACTAGTATATGATTTATCATTCATGAATATTTTGTGGCATTTTCAATTCTCAATTGTCCTCACTCATCACCACCACCATTACTACTACCACCAACACCATCCCATCTCCACTCCGGGTCAGGTTCGAGGTTGGAGTCCGAGACGTGTCCAAGTTCGAGTCTAGGACCAGGTTTGTATCCAGGGTCCATAATTGGGGTTGAGTTGGGTCCGGGACTAAGGTTAAGATCCAGGTCAATGTTGGGTCTGGGTCTGAGGTTAAAACCTAGGTTGGGTGTGTCTCTGGGTCCAGGGTCAGGTCTAGGTCTGGGTGGGGGATTATCTAAATATTTAAGTGATGTTTTAATTTTATTCTAGCTTTTAATCTTAGTTGTTACTAGACATTGAAATGGTAATGTACATTCTATTTTATGGAGAACATGATTTCTAAAACTCTTTTAAAAAAATATGTTTTTAATTACTTTTTTTGAGAACATGCCTAAACAGACTTAAAATACGTCTATATCTGTAACACATCATTTGGTCGTTATTTTTTATCCTATTTTTTCCCATAACAAAATCCATCACTGTTATTGGATTAACAATTTATCCAAATATTGTATTATTATTACTATGTAAAACCCAAACGATAGTATTTGATTTGAGAGGAAGAACAAATGTCATGATACAAAGGGGATGTGATTAACTAATGGGCTGCAATTTGGTCCGAATTGAAGGCCTGTTCGACCCAATTAGCCATTCTATCTTTCCCTCCTCCTCTCTTCATTAATGGGCTGCAAATGGGCCAAACATACACATTCATCAATCATCCCACCCACTGTACTGAACTATTGATCTTCAATGACTTGTCATGATGTTTTCAAGATTCCCTCTGACTATTATTGGACTCTCTCTAATCACTTAATTTCTGTAATCCATCCAGTAATTTCAACATGATCTTACTAATTATGGAGAAGTTGTTGCACCACCACTTCCCCAAGATTAGTAAAGGGAATAACTGCTATACAGACTTCGAGACAAACCACTCCCAACTGCCCCCAAAAGCTTTCACTTCCTCTCTCCTCAAGGAAACTTTGCCGTCTCTCTGGAATGAAGCATTGGAGCACATGGCATTAGATGAATAGGTAAAGTTCCCATGTCATTCTGTAAACTGACCTCTTCTATGGTTTGACACTGTCTTCTAACCACTCTCCTCTACATATTATTCAAAGCAGCTTCTATATATATATATATATTGTTGAGAACCACTTCATAGCTAAAACATTGTTGGTTGCCAGTTATCTGGTTAAGATTTCAAAATGGCTATGCACTTAGCTTTATGTTTACTCATGCTCAGGCTTTCAATTGCATTGGCAATCAACAGCCCAAATACATTAAACGAAACATGCATTGATGGTACCACTGTCACACTAAGCTTTGGTATGTACCTAGACAGTTGCCCGGAGGCAGAACCGATCATCTTCTCTTGGGTTGAAACCGCTGTAGCTCAGGATCCTAGAATGGCAGCTTCTTTGCTTCGCCTCCATTTCCATGATTGCTTTGTTAATGCAAGTCTATGATTCATTTTACGATTGCTTTTAATTTCATGTTACTACTTGACATTTAAAAAAATTGTAATGAATATTTAAGTTTTTCAGGGATGTGATGCATCAGTGTTATTAGATGACACACCAAGCTTTGTTGGCGAAAAAACTGCTGCACCAAACTTGAACTCATTGAGGGGGTTTGAAGTGATTGATACCATAAAATCTGATCTTGAAGCAGTTTGTCCTGAAACTGTCTCTTGTGCTGATATTCTTGCTATTGTAGCCAGAGACTCTGTTGTTTTGGTAGGTTGTTGTGTCAGCCACTTTATTTCCCTTCCTATGTAGAACTAAGAGTACTATGGTACCAAACTGTAAATTTTTAAGCAAACAAGAGTTAGTTATAACTCATTTGAGATCAAGTTACGGTTCAAAAAAGTGAGTTATTACTAAAGCATAGGTTTGGATCAATCCTAAAACGTTATAATCAACCTCAAACAACCCCCATTATGTAACAATCTCGTTAGTTTAAGTAGTAACTTCACTTTTACCTTCTTGTGCTCTTCAATATGACACTAGAAAATAATTATTCGTTACTATACTCTTATCCCCATGTAAATTTGTGTCTTGGGAATGTTTTTATGGTCTGATTTTCAGTCAGGAGGGCCTGGTTGGGAAGTGCAGACGGGAAGGAGGGACAGCTTAAGTGCTAGCAAAACAGCCGCTAATAACAACATTCCAGGCCCTAATTCTGATGCAGCCACCCTAGTGGCAAGGTTCCAAAATGTTGGCCTTTCACTCAGTGACATGGTTACTCTCTCTGGTAACTTTTTTTTTTCCTCCTATGTAAATCTTTTGCTTACGCTCAGATTGGTCCAAAACATTAGGCGCGTTTGGTTGCTGAGAATATACCCTTCTGATTTTCCTTTTGTAGGTGCACACACAATGGGAAAAGCTCGATGCTCAACATTTAGCTCCAGGCTAAATGGTACAAGCAATGTAAATAGTCCAGAGGTTAACTTGAACTTCCTCGAGTCGCTCCAACAGCTATGCTCAGAAACTGACAGCAACACGACCCTAGCACAACTAGACACTGTAACTCCATCAACATTCGACAACCAGTACTATGTTAACCTCATTTCCGGGGAGGGATTGCTCGCGTCGGACCAAGCCCTGGTGGCTGAAAACGACCTTACTCATGAAATAGTCGAATATTATGCCAATGACCCGACAGTGTTCTTCGAGGAATTCAAGAGGTCGATGCTGAAAATGGGTAGCTTGGGATCACTGACTGGGGAGAGTGGTGAAATCCGTAGGAACTGTAGAATTGTTAACCAGTTCTAGTTTTCTATAAGCCTCTAAAATTAGTGGAAAAATGTTGCCTATGCTTGTTATGGGAAGCTAATGTTAACAAAAAAACTTATTTTTATATTATGATTTATGTTGATTGCGTTAGGCCTTATTTAGGCCCACTTACACAAGTAAGATGGGTTTACATTAAAAATTATTTCAATCACGTATCTTTTGAATGAATTGATAAATAGTGTAATCTCAGTATTTGTCATACGACATTCAGGTATTATAACACGTTAGATAAAAGTGTCGAATATATAGATATTACAAGTACATAAAAGAAGGTAAGGTCTATTTTAATCTTTGTTGACAATGATTTTCCATGTAGGAGTTTTACATTGGAAATGAACATGACAAGGTCTAGGTCTAATGGAGGTTAATAATGCATGTGCTTTCTTCCTCACCAAACTGAAATGAAGTCCTTACATCATACATGGCTCCAGCCTTCATAGAGGGAAGCCAACCCCACAGCAGGCCGATTTTTATAAGGAGAGCTGCATTAAGAAAGAAGACAAACAATATAGTCCACATTTTGTGGGTAAAAATAACTTAAATGGAGTCCATATATGTTTGGTGAAACATATGAAATATGGATTCTAAGATCATCAATATAATCCAGAACGAGAGCCAACTTAATACGAGACTCTTCTCACATTTAGAGTTTCGGAATTCATTCTTTTCTCCTTCTAACAAAAAATAAAAAAATATTCACCAAGTATAGCATGAAAGTGTCATACAACACTTAGAGCATCTCCAACAATGCTATTCAAAATAGCTACTCAAAATATATTTAAATATTATATTATCTATTTTAGTTAATCACTTTTTCAAATTCACTCTAACAACGCTATCTATTTTAGCTAAATAGTTCAACTAACTTGAACTAACTTTCAATAATAAAATTTAAAAAATAGCAATTCCACTATACATTATACAAATTTAATCAATTATAAGTTACAAGAGAGAACCCACATTCCGAAAATTACTACCCCCAAACTAAATTCTCTCAAATTAAATCACAAAATCCAAAATAAAATTACGTCAAAACTTTTGAGATTGATTGAAAACTTCTGAAGGCTTCGAGCTTGATCAAACTAGATGTCATCGTCTCTCCATCGATCGCCTCATCTAAGCACTAGACCAATAACTTCTGAAGTAGCTAGTTAGATGTAACTAGTGAAAATGGAGTTATGAAAAATAGATAAGAGAACAGCTAATCCCGTTGTAGCTATATTTTAGGAAGAAACTATTTAAAATAGCTAAAAAAAAAATTTAGCTGGAGTTTTATCTAAAATTTATCACAACACTTACTTGTCTGACACACATTGATTATATAAAAAGAACAATATTTTTATATGTGGCGTGCACTACATGGCACAATTGCTATGTTATATGTGGTAAACATCGAAAATTTTCTCCCTCCAAACAACTCCAAAGTCTCACACCCTCGTGGAAAACAATCAATGTTGATTTAAAATAGTTTTTTTTTGTTTTTTTTTGTTGGAATTAGAATTTAAATTATTTAAATATTAAGTCTGTTTGGACTTAGTTTTTTTTAAGTAAAAAGCTACGATTTAAAAAAATTTTCAAAAAAATCGGAGTTAAAAACAACCTCCCAAAATCATTTGGTGTTCTTTAAAAAATTAGAAAAATCTGTTTATAGTGATTTTTTAATTTTTTTTGTGTCAAAATAAAAAAAAATATATGTATATATAAAGTATGCATAATAGTTTCCAAAAAAGGAATTTCAAACTTTTTTATGTCACTAAAAATATTTTATGAATATAATAAAATAAAAATTATGTAAGACTCGCAACAATTTTCATAAAATCAGTTTCTTAAATTATCCTAACTAATTTTCTTTTTTGTGTTCAAGAAGTTACCGAATAATTTCATCAAGAAGCTTAAGTCTAAATAGACCTAACTTATTTTATTCTAAAGTATTCCTTCCGTTCTTAAATATTTGTCGTTTTACACAATTTTTTTTGTTGCATAATATCTGTCGTTTTATGAAATCAAAACATAATTAATATTTTTTTCTTTCAAATTTACGTTTAATTTTTCAATACATTAGATTAGATGGAAGTTAAGTGTCTTTCATATTCTTTTCCTTCCCAATACGTATTAAATAAGAATATTTTAGTCATGTGTAATTATTTTTTACTCATATTAGAGTTATTTAATAACTTCCTTAATTCTTATGTAAAAATTTTAAACGACATATATTTAGGAACAGAGAGAGAGTATATAAAATTAACTTATTTCAGTTAGTTCCAAATTGGACCATTGTAATTCTAGTCTTAGAAGAACTCTATAATTAGGCAGGAGATAAAATTAATTAAGGGCGAGCGATGGTGACCTCCTACAATTAGGACTCCCCCGCAACAAAAAGAACACTTATCCAGATCATTAAATTAAAAAAATATTTAATTTGTAGGTATAAAGGTTATCATGAGTATGCGAAATCAAAAGGACTACTTTATAAAAGCCACCATCATAGAAACTCGTGTTCTGTGTTCTGCAGGTATTATAAAGGTTATCATGAGTATGCGAAATCAAAAGGATTGGATGTCGGTCTGCCAGTGAGACTTGATGTTATTGTTGATGGCACAGTTCCTACAGGTATACTCTCACTCCTTACCGTGTAATGTGTACCAGTGAATCAGGTAACTGTTAGTAACACTTTGTTTGAGAGGCAGATCTTTATGTCTAAAATGTTCCCAAATTACATTTTTTTCACATAGGGTCTGGACTGTCAAGCTCTGCTGCATTTGTTTGCGCTGCAACAATTGCTATAATGGCTACATTTGATGTGAACTTTCCAAAGGTACTATGTATATCTTGTTAAAGATGTAGAAAAAGGGTATTATGTTTGGTTGTTGTGTTGTTCCATTTAATCCCATAACCACAAAGTTAGACCTCGGTGGGCATTCATAGGAAAAATGTGTGACATTTCTCTTGCGAAATTTCTGTTTAAGCAGTTGACTTTGTTTCTTCAGAGCTTTGTCTGTATATTTATCGGGAAGGATTGGAAACATGGGAAAGCTTTGAAACATGCATCAACCATAATTATCTTGAGCTGTGTACTTATTCCAATGACTTGTTTATTATTAATATACTTCGCTGTTATTTTTAAACCGATTGATGAAAAATGTGAATAGGTATCTCCAAGAATAACTATAACAAACTTGGATTTCCTTAGCTAGGAGTATTTCTTTCAAAAATTTGAAAGCTTGATAGTGGAAACATAAGTTTGTCTATTCATCCTATATTGGTGGGTGATCCATGTGACAAGGACAAATAATGTGACTGAAACTGGAAAAATGCATGTGAGGTATTTAATGGAAATCTCCTAAATGCTAGTACAACAATTCTGGACCCAATGTGCTTATCGATTATCTTATATCTAATGTTTACTTGAGGATTGACTCATTTGCTCATGTTGCATTTGTGTATTCAGATTTGCTCTTTATCATTGCTAAGGTTCCCTTTCCACAAACTAGTAGATGGAAAACTGCCAACAGTAGGTTTTTGTGAGAAGAAATGATGTATCTTATTGATTCTAATTTCATTGCTTATTATACAGAACGAAATTGCTCAGCTTACATGTGAATGTGAACGACACATTGGGACACAATCTGGTGGAATGGACCAGGTAATACATTTCTCTCTTATCAGAATCATTGAAATACTCCTGAATAATCTCTTCTGGACTCTTGTGAAAGGACAGTAGGCAAACATGCTGCAAGCGCATGTCATAATATATCCCTGTCTGTGTTTCAATTTTGAACTTCCCTTGAAAGCTGTGTTTGTTTTCTATTGCCTTCTACTATCATTTCAGTTGAAAATGCTCTCAGTAGATTGGTGGATGGTGTTGCTTGGATTACATATGAATAGAGGATTCCAATTAGATCCTTGTTATAATTGATGTTCTTGTTGTTGTGCTTGTTTGTGAAAGTTTTTTGGCCCCAGGTAGATTATATCATTTACCTTTTGTCTAATGAAATCTGCCAGTCCTGGATGCTTACATTTTGTAATACTCTCACTTCACCTTCGTTGCAGTTAATGCACATTGCACATTGCACATGTATATGTGAAAATGCAAATTTAAATGTAGTGCTTTAGTGCATTAGCTGGAGATGACCTTTGGCATTATGTTTTCCTCTGTCAAATTCCTAAACGCTATAGGGGTTGTATAAATGTGATAAGAAAGAAGGTTATCATTTTCGTCATTATTCTAGTGCGTGACATTATTAAGATCCTTGAGCCATTTCAAATTTTCAGGGGCTTCTATTCTTACCAGCTACTTTTTGATCTGAGATTTGATGGCCTACTATTATTACTTATTGGTGATATATGGGTAGACTTGCAAGTGTCTTCGAGTTAACTGCAGAATTCAATTCAGGTTTCACCTTTGAACATTTGGGCTTGCAGATTGTTCTTGGGNTCGTCTTACATGGAAATTAAATTGTATGATTTGTATCTATAGAGAGGGATTTGAAATATGTTGCCCTGGATCACCCTTATTTCATCACCCTTATTTCAACTAGGCTGGATACCTATTTGCTGTCATCTCAACTGCAACATTTGTGGAGGTTCAAAATCCCTAGTGTACTATAATGCAAGCGTCAGTTAACTATTTTGTTTTTATTTCNGGATGAAACCTCAGGAGGCAATTACCAATGTAAAAACTCTTTCTGATGTTGAAGGGCTGTGTGTTTCATTNGAATAAAGCTTGGGATGAAACCTCATGAGGCAATTACCAATGTAAAAACTCTTTCTGATGTTGAAGGGCTGTGTGTTTCATTTGCGGGCAGTCACGGATCTTCTGATCCGGTCGTTGCTGTCAAGGTATCTACAGCATGTTTTCCACATTTATGTCCGGCCTCTACTTTTATAACAACATTCTGGGGTTGTTAGCATTATTGATATTGACTTGCCATTGTTACAGGGATTTTATTATTGTTTTCAAATATATTTGTATTTGACCATGAAGATTAGGTTAACATTTTCCACTTCTGCAGGAATTTTTAGATGAAGAACCTTATACAGCTGGAGACATTGAGAAAATCACGGAGGAAAGCCTGCACTCGATCTTTGCCAGTTCTCCCACGTCTATGGATGTGCTAAAAGCTGCCAAGCACTTTAAATTATTCCAGGTGATTTTCTTGGGTGGTTGCCTAGAATTGCTTGAAGTTCATGATTGTAAATTAATTATGATTTATTTGTATTCATTGCTTTGTTTTTGTTAATGAATGATTGAACTTTCAATTGTTTGGGAAGGGCTTTCTTTGAAATCCCCCCCCCCTCCAAAAAAAATAAAATAAAATAATAAAACTGTGGGGATTTAATAGGCCTATTAGTATATTTCTTTCCAAAAGTACAAGATTTGCATTGCTTGCTAATATTTCTACTATAACTTGTATTTGCACTTTTTCTTTTTCCAATGAAACAATTAGCTTCTGCATATACTGTTATTGTACCTTAGCATATTTACAGGAAGTTGGTCATCTTAATAATTTCTGTTACCAATGGGTCTTTGGTCTAATGGTACTCCTTGTCTTATAAAGGCTTTGCCTTCTTGAGGTCAAGGGTTCAAGTCCCTCTCCCCCTTTCCCTTCCCCAAAAATAAAAAATAAAAAAAAATAATTTCTGTTAATTTCTGGAACGTTCTAACCATCCTAGCTGCTACCTTAACTTTCATTGTTATATTGTATGTTATTGTCCTTAGAATAAAATTTTGGTGATATTTTTTCCCCTCAGAAGCACTTGTAGATTTTCCACATTTATTTTGCAGAGGGCCTCCCATGTCTACTTGGAAGCCAAGAGGGTACATGCTTTTAAGGATGCTGAAAATTAAGGTAAAGTAAGTTATTATTTTTAATGTCTGACGAGCCTTTTCTATGAAATAATTAATGAGGCAAGCTCAGGTGCTTGGTGGCCTATGTTCCATGGTGTAAAACTGTCTCGTAAAGGAAAAAAAGAAAAAGAAAACGAACTCGCTTACCATAATTTGCCAAAAATGTCTATTCCAGACAAATGTGCCAAAAATGATGATTGTACTTGTTCACAGTTCTTTCATTTCTGTTCATGTATTTGCTAAATCTAAAGCAATCAAAGAAGCATCCCATCACATTTTGGATTCCTTTGTCCAGTTTGACAAGCCTTTTTTTCCCAATTAGAAATTTTCTAATATGGCTTTGAACATGTAAAGAATTTCTTGAAGGGACAAGTTTCAATCTAAAATTCAGTCACACTGTTAAGTTCTGGCCTGAAATTGAACTTTTTGAATATGGATAAATCAAACCAATTGACAAGAATTACTCTCAAGTTTCTTGAACTATAAATCTCTTGTAGTTGTTTATTGTAGTGAGGAGGACATGCTGAAGAAGCTTGGTGACCTTATGAACGAGAGCCATTATAGTTGCAGTGTTCTATATGAATGCAGGTACAAATCTAGCTTCCTGAATGTGTGTGCACCAATTGGAACTGATAATCGGCAATTGTATTGACATAAGAGTGTTAATGTTTTGTACTAATCAGCGGCATAAACACCTTGTTGCATTCTATCATCTTGCAGAACAATGGATGTCTAATCTATGTAGTTAAATCTCTAGATTTCTTGCACAATGATCACCTTTCTTTTATGTTCTTATGAACAGTGTTCTTCTTCGTTACTAAATGAGTAGAGCTTAATCGCTATAGATTTGATGCCTCCTTCTTTAATTAGGTAGTGAAATGGAACTTTTGGCTAGTTAAGTACCTATGCAACACATTGAAAATGGTTCATGTTTTGTAGGACAAAATTGATGCAGGGAAAGTCTGATCTGCCATAGTCAATAGTATTGGATACAATATTCTCTCATGAACTCATTCGATTCCAATTATTCTTTCAATTTGTAGCCGCCCCATGCATCATTGGTTATATAAAATGCTAACTCCCCCTCCCCCGTCTTTAATAAAACTAGCTGCCCAGAGTTGGAAGAGCTTGTAAATATTTGTCGGAATAATGGTGCTTTTGGGGCAAGGCTTACAGGAGCTGGATGGGGTGGTCGTGCAGTTGCTTTGGTGAAAGAGAATATCATCCCACAATTTATCCTCAATTTGAAGGTTAGTTTCTGATTGCTTAATGGGAACATTTGCTTCACTATTGTCATCATCTAGATCATGCCAGAAGATATAACATGGTTAATTGTTTGCATCAGGGACAATTTTATCAATCAAGGATGGACAATGGGGTGATCAATAAGAATGATCTTGGCCTATACGCTTTTGCATCCAAGCCATCTCGGGGTGCTGCGATTTTCAAATTTTAATCTCTGCTCTGCAAATTAATTTTATTTATGAACACTAGCCATTTAATCTATCATCCATTAATAAACTTGATCATCTTTTTCAACATGTTTCCATAGGCTTATGGAGGGTCTGATTTTCTTTTTAAGATAGGTAAGAAGGTGATTTAGTTAGCCAAATTGCACTAATGCAATTCATTCATCTTATTATTCTACAGTGCAATTCAAATTCTTAGTAAGGCTAGAGTTAGTGTGGTCTTTGTTGAGTTTAGATGAGTTGGGTTTTATTTATTTATTTTTTGTCTCAACGGTTCGCTTGTCGTTGAGCTATTGTCTTACATGGAAATTAAATTGTATGATTTGTATCTATAGAGAGGGATTTGAAATATGTTGCACTGGATCACCCTTATTTCAACTAGGCTGGATACCTATTTGCTGTCATCTCAACTGCAACATTGTGGAGGTTCAAAATCCCTAGTGTACTATAATGCAAGCGTCAGTTAACTATTTTGTTTTTATTTCTACTAGAATGTAATGACTTATTATTATACTCACACAAAGTATCTAACACCAAGTCATTTTAATTAAACCTATAGATTTCTCCTTTTGTAACTCTGGTATCAATCGTTACATTGTGAATAGGGAAGGCAGTAGATTAGGGTGGGGAGAGTAGTTTCTACCCTTTATGCACTTCAAAAATATTTGTCCAGTTCCATTTTTCTATACTCACTCTATAGGTAAATTTTGATCCTTGTCTATGTTTCGGTCATCGTCCTCGTTCATAATAATTAATTTTTATAATTTTAAAAAATAAATCAAAAAATTTATAAAAATGGATCAAAGATTCATAATAAAACATATGAATCAAACATAAAATTTTCAAAAATAATTTATATAACAAGTGTGTGTTTTTTGTGTGCTGTACTGAAGTGTGTCGGTGTATGAGTCCATAAGAGAGAGAAACAGCTCAGGTCTTAGTCAGTGGTGGGTTGAGAAAGAGGGATGCGGTGCAGGGATACAGTGGTGTTGCTGGTTGGGTGTGTGGCGGTGGTGGGTTGAGTGTGNATACAGCTGGAGACATTGAGAAAATCACGGAGGAAAGCCTGCACTCGATCTTTGCCAGTTCTCCCACGTCTATGGATGTGCTAAAAGCTGCCAAGCACTTTAAATTATTCCAGGTGATTTTCTTGGGTGGTTGCCTAGAATTGCTTGAAGTTCATGATTGTAAATTAATTATGATTTATTTGTATTCATTGCTTTGTTTTTGTTAATGAATGATTGAACTTTCAATTGTTTGGGAAGGGCTTTCTTTGAAATCCCCCCCCCCTCCAAAAAAAATAAAATAAAATAATAAAACTGTGGGGATTTAATAGGCCTATTAGTATATTTCTTTCCAAAAGTACAAGATTTGCATTGCTTGCTAATATTTCTACTATAACTTGTATTTGCACTTTTTCTTTTTCCAATGAAACAATTAGCTTCTGCATATACTGTTATTGTACCTTAGCATATTTACAGGAAGTTGGTCATCTTAATAATTTCTGTTACCAATGGGTCTTTGGTCTAATGGTACTCCTTGTCTTATAAAGGCTTTGCCTTCTTGAGGTCAAGGGTTCAAGTCCCTCTCCCCCTTTCCCTTCCCCAAAAATAAAAAATAAAAAAAAATAATTTCTGTTAATTTCTGGAACGTTCTAACCATCCTAGCTGCTACCTTAACTTTCATTGTTATATTGTATGTTATTGTCCTTAGAATAAAATTTTGGTGATATTTTTTCCCCTCAGAAGCACTTGTAGATTTTCCACATTTATTTTGCAGAGGGCCTCCCATGTCTACTTGGAAGCCAAGAGGGTACATGCTTTTAAGGATGCTGAAAATTAAGGTAAAGTAAGTTATTATTTTTAATGTCTGACGAGCCTTTTCTATGAAATAATTAATGAGGCAAGCTCAGGTGCTTGGTGGCCTATGTTCCATGGTGTAAAACTGTCTCGTAAAGGAAAAAAAGAAAAAGAAAACGAACTCGCTTACCATAATTTGCCAAAAATGTCTATTCCAGACAAATGTGCCAAAAATGATGATTGTACTTGTTCACAGTTCTTTCATTTCTGTTCATGTATTTGCTAAATCTAAAGCAATCAAAGAAGCATCCCATCACATTTTGGATTCCTTTGTCCAGTTTGACAAGCCTTTTTTTCCCAATTAGAAATTTTCTAATATGGCTTTGAACATGTAAAGAATTTCTTGAAGGGACAAGTTTCAATCTAAAATTCAGTCACACTGTTAAGTTCTGGCCTGAAATTGAACTTTTTGAATATGGATAAATCAAACCAATTGACAAGAATTACTCTCAAGTTTCTTGAACTATAAATCTCTTGTAGTTGTTTATTGTAGTGAGGAGGACATGCTGAAGAAGCTTGGTGACCTTATGAACGAGAGCCATTATAGTTGCAGTGTTCTATATGAATGCAGGTACAAATCTAGCTTCCTGAATGTGTGTGCACCAATTGGAACTGATAATCGGCAATTGTATTGACATAAGAGTGTTAATGTTTTGTACTAATCAGCGGCATAAACACCTTGTTGCATTCTATCATCTTGCAGAACAATGGATGTCTAATCTATGTAGTTAAATCTCTAGATTTCTTGCACAATGATCACCTTTCTTTTATGTTCTTATGAACAGTGTTCTTCTTCGTTACTAAATGAGTAGAGCTTAATCGCTATAGATTTGATGCCTCCTTCTTTAATTAGGTAGTGAAATGGAACTTTTGGCTAGTTAAGTACCTATGCAACACATTGAAAATGGTTCATGTTTTGTAGGACAAAATTGATACAGGGAAAGTCTGATCTGCCATAGTCAATAGTATTGGATGCAATATTCTCTCATGAACTCATTCGATTCCAATTATTCTTTCAATTTGTAGCCGCCCCATGCATCATTGGTTATATAAAATGCTAACTCCCCCTCCCCCGTCTTTAATAAAACTAGCTGCCCAGAGTTGGAAGAGCTTGTAAATATTTGTCGGAATAATGGTGCTTTTGGGGCAAGGCTTACAGGAGCTGGATGGGGTGGTCGTGCAGTTGCTTTGGTGAAAGAGAATATCATCCCACAATTTATCCTCAATTTGAAGGTTAGTTTCTGATTGCTTAATGGGAACATTTGCTTCACTATTGTCATCATCTAGATCGTGCCAGAAGATATAACATGGTTAATTGTTTGCATCAGGGACAATTTTATCAATCAAGGATGGACAATGGGGTGATCAATAAGAATGATCTTGGCCTATACGCTTTTGCATCCAAGCCATCTCGGGGTGCTGCGATTTTCAAATTTTAATCTCTGCTCTGCAAATTAATTTTATTTATGAACACTAGCCATTTAATCTATCATCCATTAATAAACTTGATCATCTTTTTCAACATGTTTCCATAGGCTTATGGAGGGTCTGATTTTCTTTTTAAGATAGGTAAGAAGGTGATTTAGTTAGCCAAATTGCACTAATGCAATTCATTCATCTTATTATTCTACAGTGCAATTCAAATTCTTAGTAAGGCTAGAGTTAGTGTGGTCTTTGTTGAGTTTAGATGAGTTGGGTTTTATTTATTTATTTTTTGTCTCAACGGTTCGCTTGTCGTTGAGCTATCGTCTTACATGGAAATTAAATTGTATGATTTGTATCTATAGAGAGGGATTTGAAATATGTTGCCCTGGATCACCCTTATTTCATCACCCTTATTTCAACTAGGCTGGATACCTATTTGCTGTCATCTCAACTGCAACATTTGTGGAGGTTCAAAATCCCTAGTGTACTATAATGCAAGCGTCAGTTAACTATTTTGTTTTTATTTCTACTAGAATGTAATGACTTATTATTATACTCACACAAAGTATCTAACACCAAGTCATTTTAATTAAACCTATAGATTTCTCCTTTTGTAACTCTGGCTGGTATCAATCGTTACATTGTGAATAGGGAAGGCAGTAGATTAGGGTGGGGAGAGTAGTTTCTACCCTTTATGCACTTCAAAAATATTTGTCCAGTTCCATTTTTCTATACTCACTCTATAGGTAAATTTTGATCCTTGTCTATGTTTCGGTCATCGTCCTCGTTCATAATAATTAATTTTTATAATTTTAAAAAATAAATCAAAAAATTTATAAAAATGGATCAAAGATTCATAATAAAACATATGAATCAAACATAAAATTTTCAAAAATAATTTATATAACGAGTGTGTGTTTTTTGTGTGCTGTAGTGAAGTGTGTCGGTGTATGAGTCCATAAGAGAGAGAAACAGCTCAGATCTTAGTCAGTGGTGGGTTGAGAAAGAGGGATGCGGTGCAGGGATACAGTGGTGTTGCTGGTTGGGTGTGTGGCGGTGGTGGGTTGAGTGTGTCTGTGTAAGTTACAGATGAGTGGTGATTGGTTGACTGAGGGATAGAGGAGACCAGGAGAAGAGATAGAAGAGATCATGAGAGAGAAGACTGCGAGAGAGAGAAAATAAAGTTTTTTTATTGGGTAAAGAGAAAGTAGGCGGATGAGAAAGAGAAAATAAAGTTTTTTTTTTTTGGNTGTTTTTGTTAATGAATGATTGAACTTTCAATTGTTTGGGAAGGGCTTTCTTTGAAATCCCCCCCCCCTCCAAAAAAAATAAAATAAAATAATAAAACTGTGGGGATTTAATAGGCCTATTAGTATATTTCTTTCCAAAAGTACAAGATTTGCATTGCTTGCTAATATTTCTACTATAACTTGTATTTGCACTTTTTCTTTTTCCAATGAAACAATTAGCTTCTGCATATACTGTTATTGTACCTTAGCATATTTACAGGAAGTTGGTCATCTTAATAATTTCTGTTACCAATGGGTCTTTGGTCTAATGGTACTCCTTGTCTTATAAAGGCTTTGCCTTCTTGAGGTCAAGGGTTCAAGTCCCTCTCCCCCTTTCCCTTCCCCAAAAATAAAAAATAAAAAAAAATAATTTCTGTTAATTTCTGGAACGTTCTAACCATCCTAGCTGCTACCTTAACTTTCATTGTTATATTGTATGTTATTGTCCTTAGAATAAAATTTTGGTGATATTTTTTCCCCTCAGAAGCACTTGTAGATTTTCCACATTTATTTTGCAGAGGGCCTCCCATGTCTACTTGGAAGCCAAGAGGGTACATGCTTTTAAGGATGCTGAAAATTAAGGTAAAGTAAGTTATTATTTTTAATGTCTGACGAGCCTTTTCTATGAAATAATTAATGAGGCAAGCTCAGGTGCTTGGTGGCCTATGTTCCATGGTGTAAAACTGTCTCGTAAAGGAAAAAAAGAAAAAGAAAACGAACTCGCTTACCATAATTTGCCAAAAATGTCTATTCCAGACAAATGTGCCAAAAATGATGATTGTACTTGTTCACAGTTCTTTCATTTCTGTTCATGTATTTGCTAAATCTAAAGCAATCAAAGAAGCATCCCATCACATTTTGGATTCCTTTGTCCAGTTTGACAAGCCTTTTTTTCCCAATTAGAAATTTTCTAATATGGCTTTGAACATGTAAAGAATTTCTTGAAGGGACAAGTTTCAATCTAAAATTCAGTCACACTGTTAAGTTCTGGCCTGAAATTGAACTTTTTGAATATGGATAAATCAAACCAATTGACAAGAATTACTCTCAAGTTTCTTGAACTATAAATCTCTTGTAGTTGTTTATTGTAGTGAGGAGGACATGCTGAAGAAGCTTGGTGACCTTATGAACGAGAGCCATTATAGTTGCAGTGTTCTATATGAATGCAGGTACAAATCTAGCTTCCTGAATGTGTGTGCACCAATTGGAACTGATAATCGGCAATTGTATTGACATAAGAGTGTTAATGTTTTGTACTAATCAGCGGCATAAACACCTTGTTGCATTCTATCATCTTGCAGAACAATGGATGTCTAATCTATGTAGTTAAATCTCTAGATTTCTTGCACAATGATCACCTTTCTTTTATGTTCTTATGAACAGTGTTCTTCTTCGTTACTAAATGAGTAGAGCTTAATCGCTATAGATTTGATGCCTCCTTCTTTAATTAGGTAGTGAAATGGAACTTTTGGCTAGTTAAGTACCTATGCAACACATTGAAAATGGTTCATGTTTTGTAGGACAAAATTGATACAGGGAAAGTCTGATCTGCCATAGTCAATAGTATTGGATGCAATATTCTCTCATGAACTCATTCGATTCCAATTATTCTTTCAATTTGTAGCCGCCCCATGCATCATTGGTTATATAAAATGCTAACTCCCCCTCCCCCGTCTTTAATAAAACTAGCTGCCCAGAGTTGGAAGAGCTTGTAAATATTTGTCGGAATAATGGTGCTTTTGGGGCAAGGCTTACAGGAGCTGGATGGGGTGGTCGTGCAGTTGCTTTGGTGAAAGAGAATATCATCCCACAATTTATCCTCAATTTGAAGGTTAGTTTCTGATTGCTTAATGGGAACATTTGCTTCACTATTGTCATCATCTAGATCGTGCCAGAAGATATAACATGGTTAATTGTTTGCATCAGGGACAATTTTATCAATCAAGGATGGACAATGGGGTGATCAATAAGAATGATCTTGGCCTATACGCTTTTGCATCCAAGCCATCTCGGGGTGCTGCGATTTTCAAATTTTAATCTCTGCTCTGCAAATTAATTTTATTTATGAACACTAGCCATTTAATCTATCATCCATTAATAAACTTGATCATCTTTTTCAACATGTTTCCATAGGCTTATGGAGGGTCTGATTTTCTTTTTAAGATAGGTAAGAAGGTGATTTAGTTAGCCAAATTGCACTAATGCAATTCATTCATCTTATTATTCTACAGTGCAATTCAAATTCTTAGTAAGGCTAGAGTTAGTGTGGTCTTTGTTGAGTTTAGATGAGTTGGGTTTTATTTATTTATTTTTTGTCTCAACGGTTCGCTTGTCGTTGAGCTATCGTCTTACATGGAAATTAAATTGTATGATTTGTATCTATAGAGAGGGATTTGAAATATGTTGCACTGGATCACCCTTATTTCAACTAGGCTGGATACCTATTTGCTGTCATCTCAACTGCAACATTGTGGAGGTTCAAAATCCCTAGTGTACTATAATGCAAGCGTCAGTTAACTATTTTNTACAGGGAAAGTCTGATCTGCCATAGTCAATAGTATTGGATACAATATTCTCTCATGAACTCATTCGATTCCAATTATTCTTTCAATTTGTAGCCGCCCCATGCATCATTGGTTATATAAAATGCTAACTCCCCCTCCCCCGTCTTTAATAAAACTAGCTGCCCAGAGTTGGAAGAGCTTGTAAATATTTGTCGGAATAATGGTGCTTTTGGGGCAAGGCTTACAGGAGCTGGATGGGGTGGTCGTGCAGTTGCTTTGGTGAAAGAGAATATCATCCCACAATTTATCCTCAATTTGAAGGTTAGTTTCTGATTGCTTAATGGGAACATTTGCTTCACTATTATCATCATCTAGATCATGCCAGAAGATATAACATGGTTAATTGTTTGCATCAGGGACAATTTTATCAATCAAGGATGGACAATGGGGTGATCAATAAGAATGATCTTGGCCTATACGCTTTTGCTTCCAAGCCATCTCGGGGTGCTGCGATTTTCAAATTTTAATCTCTGCTCTGCAAATTAATTTTATTTATGAACACTAGCCATTTAATCTATCATCCATTAATAAACTTGATCATCTTTTTCAACATGTTTCCATAGGCTTATGGAGGGTCTGATTTTCTTTTTAAGATAGGTAAGAAGGTGATTTAGTTAGCCAAATTGCACTAATGCAATTCATTCATCTTATTATTCTACAGTGCAATTCAAATTCTTAGTAAGGCTAGAGTTAGTGTGGTCTTTGTTGAGTTTAGATGAGTTGGGTTTTATTTATTTATTTTTTGTCTCAACGGTTCGCTTGTCGTTGAGCTATTGTCTTACATGGAAATTAAATTGTATGATTTGTATCTATAGAGAGGGATTTGAAATATGTTGCACTGGATCACCCTTATTTCAACTAGGCTGGATACCTATTTGCTGTCATCTCAACTGCAACATTGTGGAGGTTCAAAATCCCTAGTGTACTATAATGCAAGCGTCAGTTAACTATTTTGTTTTTATTTCTACTAGAATGTAATGACTTATTATTATACTCACACAAAGTATCTAACACCAAGTCATTTTAATTAAACCTATAGATTTCTCCTTTTGTAACTCTGGTATCAATCGTTACATTGTGAATAGGGAAGGCAGTAGATTAGGGTGGGGAGAGTAGTTTCTACCCTTTATGCACTTCAAAAATATTTGTCCAGTTCCATTTTTCTATACTCACTCTATAGGTAAATTTTGATCCTTGTCTATGTTTCGGTCATCGTCCTCGTTCATAATAATTAATTTTTATAATTTTAAAAAATAAATCAAAAAATTTATAAAAATGGATCAAAGATTCATAATAAAACATATGAATCAAACATAAAATTTTCAAAAATAATTTATATAACGAGTGTGTGTTTTTTGTGTGCTGTAGTGAAGTGTGTCGGTGTATGAGTCCATAAGAGAGAGAAACAGCTCAGATCTTAGTCAGTGGTGGGTTGAGAAAGAGGGATGCGGTGCAGGGATACAGTGGTGTTGCTGGTTGGGTGTGTGGCGGTGGTGGGTTGAGTGTGTCTGTGTAAGTTACAGATGAGTGGTGATTGGTTGACTGAGGGATAGAGGAGACCAGGAGAAGAGATAGAAGAGATCATGAGAGAGAAGACTGCGAGAGAGAGAAAATAAAGTTTTTTTTTTGGGTAAAGAGAAAGTAGGCGGATGAGAAAGAGAAAATAAAGTTTTTTTTTTTTGGATAAAGAGAAAGTAGGTGGATAAGGTATGTGATATTATATCCGTTTTTAAATATTTGTCGTGTAAAAATTTTGCACAAGAATTAAAAAAATTATTAAGTAACTCTAATATAAATAAAAAATAATTACACAAGACTAAAATATCTTTATTTAATACGTATTAGGAAGAAAAATAATATAAAAAATACTTAATTTCCACCTAATCTAATACATTGAAAAGTTAAGGTTAAATTTAAAAAAAAAAATTAATTATGCTTTGGTTTTATAAAATGACAGAGATTGTGGAACAAAAAAAATTGGGTAAAACGAGAGATATTTAGAAACAGAAGGAGTAATAAAAAGCAATGTTATATGAACTTAAAAATTAGACTTGATAATCTCAATTATTGATTTCACTGTGGATCCTAGTATTTATTAGGACCCACAACCTATTCAATAATTGAGATTATTAAATTTAATTTTTAAGTCTGTCTACCATTACTCATTAATAAATAAGTGAGCAGGTGAGAAAGATTTGTGTCTATCACGAGTTTAATAGGACGAGATAGAGGGGATGATGAGATGAGTTTAGTCCATCTCCACCTTTATTTTTGCACGGATTTTTACAAATATTCATATTNTGATTAAGATTATTAAATTTAATTTTTAAATCTGTCTACCATTACTCATTAATAAATAAGTGAGCAGGTGAGAAAGATTTGTGTCTATCACGAGTTTAATGGGACGAGATAGAGGGAAGGATGAGATGAGTTTAGTCCATCTCCACCTTTATTTTTGCACGGATTTTTACAAATATTCATATTCAATATGTATGATTCATTCTAATTTAATCGGAATGAGTTTGGACCAACATTTATTTTTTCCCTAGGCCTAATGCCATCAAATAAGCTTGTAAGGCGATCCTAAGCTTGTAAGTCTATAGGCTATAGCAAACTGATACATGATTAAGAAAGTAAAGAGAAATCTTATTTAAACCTAATTAAAATATTTAATCTATTACATNTTGGAATCATTTTGGACCAACATTTATTTTTTCCCTAGGCCTAATGCCATCAAATAAGCTTGTAAGTCTATAGGCTATAGCAAACTGATACATGATTAAGAAAGTAAAGAGAAATCTTATTTAAACCTAATTAAAATATTTAATCTATTACATATTAGGTCTTCTTGCCCTTGTTTGGAAAGAGACAGAAACAAGCGGGGGAATAGGGAAAGAGAGAGGAATCCAGTCCTCACAAAAGCATCCTTGCTATGGACGCAGCCACAACAGAGAGATCATGCACAGCTCCGTTCAAACCAGTCAGTGGCGATTTCTTCAAACTAAAGCCGCTCTCACATGATTGGGCCTCCCTGGCAGCGTCATTCATCCCATCTTCAGCAAACTTAGGATCACCTTTCGTCAATGCCTCAACAGCTTCAGGCAAATCAGCGGTGAGAACTACTTTGTACGATTCGGCGCAATTTTTCAACGGAATTTTCAACTCCGGCTTCGAGCGCAAAAACATGTTGATGCTGCTAAGCGCCTGGGTTGATTTCGATTTTACGACACCGACTATGATGAGGCCAAGACCGGTAACGTCGGCGGTGGAGCTTTTAGGGTTTGATCTCAACGTTGAGACGCAGAGCTGGTAATAGGGTGTGTGCTTGCAGGTACTGTCTATCAGATTGGCGTCCTTCTTGTCTAGTATGCCTGAGCATGAGTTCAGTGATGAGAGGATGGTAAGAAGAAGAACATGGAGGAGAACGTTAAAGGACGTGAGAGAGATGAGATTCCTCATTACGTTACTATTTCTTTAGATAGAGATGAGAAAAGGTTGGTGGTCTGCTAAGCAGGTGCTTGCTTATTTATATGCATTTTGGACAGATTATCTGATTGATTATGCATGCAAACTTTGATTTTCCCACGTGTGAGGGGTTCGGTTCCTGTGCTGTGCAGCCTGTGCTGTTCCTCAAATGACTATTCCCCAAAAGATTCTGTCTTTTCCTTATATTTACTCCCATAAAACAATAGTTTCTGGATTTCTTCTAATGACCAAAAAGGCAAAAATAAATCTAAAGAAAAAAAGCAACTCAAACGTATCTACCAGCTTTATTTCACGGTAGATTGGGTAATAAAATATTATTTATTAATATTTCCAAATCTCAAATTCAAATCTCAATAAGAAAGATATTGGCTAATGAAAAGGGGCATTTTTGTCCAAAAGGGACTCAATTCAAGGTTAGACGAAAATAGGACTGTCTTTTTCTTTTAACCGTCAAAGGGGTCTATTCTGTACGGGTCAAGTAATTGTAAATTCATGTAATCTATATAGAGGAATGATATGCATTCCAAATTTTATAATTTTATGTTACTAGTTGGATTCTATATAATATAGAAAAACAAGAAGATAATGNTGACCGTCAAAGGGGTCTATTCTGTACGGGTCAAGTAATTGTAAATTCATGTAATCTATACAGAGGAATGACATGCATTCCAAATTTTATAATTTTATGTTACTAGTTGGATTCTATATAATATAGAAAAACAAGAAGATAATGCAAAGGATGACACAATAATACAGAAAAAAGAATAATGGAAAGAATCTCTATACTATAAACAACGAGAAGTCTCCGATCCTTCAATCCTAATTTTCTAATTTTTTGTATTTTTAAAAAAAACTCTAATGAGTTTTCCCTCAAATGCTTAATATCACTTTATTTTATTTATTTTGTAATCAAATGATTGTTGAAAAGAAAAATAAGGTCAGACAGAGGAAGAAAANCGATCCTTCAATCCTAATTTTCTAATTTTTTGTATTTTTTAAAAAAACTCTAATGAGTTTTCCCTCAAGTGCTTAATATCACTTTATTTTATTTATTTTGTAATCAAATGATTGTTGAAAAGAAAAATAAGGTCAGACAGAGGAAGAAAATTTAGAGTTTAGAAAGAGCAAAGTTATGAATAAGTATTTTTCTTAATTTTTGACATGTACATGTATAATAGGCAGTTGCTTATTGACAGTAGAAACCCCTCATGCGCATTTACTGTAAAAAAATTTGACAAATATTATCCATTTGAGTAATATGAAACAAAATAAATACTTTAAGATACAATGTGAGAAATTTTATAGTTGAGGGTACAAAATAAAATAAAGGTTATAGTTTAAGGGGTAAAGTGTAATTAACCTATCACAAATCAATTAAATACCACCACACAGTCCTAATGAAACAAACTATTAATCGCATGTGATTATAGAGAGAGGAAATGAGACATGAAACAAACTTTCGCATCTAACCAAAAGGACCAACAAACCCCACCTCACAACATCTTTACTATTGAATTAGCTACAACGGACAGATCATGGACAACTTTGTTCAAATCAGCAAGTGGTGATCTGTTTGGCTTGAAATTTTCTTCACATGCATTGGCCTCATTGGCAGCATCAGATGTGCTTGTCTCAGCATGTTCGGGTTCTCCTTTACCCAATGCTTCTGTGGCTTGTGGCATAATAGAACTCAAAATGCCATACTCGTACACAAACACACATTTAAGCAAGGGTAGTCTCCACTGCGGCTTTGTTCCCATGATTTCATCGACGCGTTTCAGTGCCTCTGCTGCCTTACCCTTAATTGTACCCTTAATAATACGGTGTTTGTTTGCATGTTCTAGCTATCAAATCTTTTCCTCGAGTCAGGGCGGAGGCTTGGCTAAAAAGAAAGAGATGAAGGAGGAAGATGAACACCGGGAAGATCAATCTTCTCATCATTTTGCATATCTAGAGAGCAAATGATGAGTTGAAGAAGATTGTTGAAGGTTTATTTATGCTCAGGTGTGTTTGCTTACGTGTTAGCTCTATCACTATGACTAACCCCAAAGACTCTGTCATATCCTTATATTTAATTACCATAAAACAATAGTTCCCAAAAATAATGAGATTGTGGTCTCTTGTTGGCAAAAACTATTAATTGAAATTTAGTTTAGGGATTTCTCCTGATGACCATAAAGGAAAAAACTAAATCTAAAGAAAAAAGACAACTCATACGTATCTACAAACTTTATTTCACTGTAGACTGAACAATAAAGTATTATTTATTAATAAATCAAAATCTCAAATTCAAATCTCAATAAGGAAAGTATCGGTAACCCAATACTCATTTGTATGCTTGATTGTTCACATCTCAAATTTATGTTAATTTACATTAAACCACGAATTCAAAGTGAGTGATCGAGTGTNATAATAAAGTATTATTTATTAATAAATCAAAATCTCAAATTCAAATCTCAATAAGGAAAGTATCGGTAACCCAATACACATTTGTATGCTTGATTGTTCACATCTCAAATTTATGTTAATTTACATTAAACCACGAATTCAAAGTGAGTGATCGAGTGTTCCCACAAACGGAAAGCACTTCGTATAGTGCACTAATGAAAAGGGGCATTTCTCTCCGGCGGGGACTCAATTCAAGGTTGGACAAAAATTGGGCTGTCATTTTCTCCTGATCTGCTTTAGGACAGTCCAAAATCTATTTCGTACCAGCCAAGTTTTGAAACATCTAATTCGAAAGGATCAGGAGATCAATTCATCATCTTTNGCACTAATGAAAAGGGGCATTTCTCTCCGGAGGGGACTCAATTCAAGGTTGGACAAAAATTGGGCTGTCTTTTTCCCCTGATCTGCTTTAGGACAGTCCAAAATCTATTTCGTACCAGCCAAGTTTTGAAACATCTAATTCGAAAGGATCAGGAGATCAATTCATCATCTTTAAATGATAGTACAGACATAGAAGAGAGAGTCTTTTAAACTCTTTGGAGAGATTATGATATTCAATTTGATGATACCAAAAATTATTCAAGATTAAGCTAGACCTAGAAGCAGTCGAGAGACAGGCCCCAATTTTAGCTGCATGATAACATCAAAATTTGAGTTTCAATTCGAGACAACTAAGATCGGGTGAACAAGCTCACCTCTCAGCTCAGGTCTTCAAACTCGGACCTCTCATCTCAGGTCTTCCAACTCAGACCTCTTAGTTTGGACCTCCTAACTCAGGTCTCCCACCTTATAGGCGTAGGTCGAGAACCATCATCAACACGAACCTCGTGCACACTGTGACAGCGACAGCTCACATTTTTAGAAGGTCAAGTTATATGTAAGAAATGTAATTTCTAATGGCCAAATATTCCATCTTATGGGTCGTAACAACCCTAAGAAAATCATGTTGATTACGCAAGGATCTTGACTATTATGAAAGGATCATGGTTGTTACATAAGGATCACAACAACTACGCAGGAATCACGCTGATTGCTCGAAGCTCCAATACAATATAAATAAGGACCGATCTCTCGCTTTGTAGAAGATCTGAGATTAGAGGATATACTCTCTATAGCCTTGTAACCTTCTTCCTCCAAGTAATAGAAAACTTCTCAAGAATAAGACACTCTATTAGAATGGACTAAGTAGGCCTATCAAAATTCGACACGACACGATTAATCAACACGAATTAAACGAGTTTGGGTGAGACCTTAATGGATTTGGGTAATAAACGGATTGACCTGTCTAACACGTTTAATAAATGGGTCGTTTCGAGCGAGTCATGTCAACTCGTTTATCACACGTTTAAATAAAATTAATATAATAATAAATTAATAATTATTTTAAAAAATTAGGCAAATTTTTTTTTTAATGATAGCCAAAGAAAATATGTATATATATATTATTTTTAGTGATAGCCACATAATTTTTTTTTTAATTTAGTGATAGTCACAAAATATAATAATAAATTAAAATTAAACAGGTTAAACGAGTCGTGTCATGTTACCCGTTTATTAAACGGTTTATGTTCGTATTGAGATTTTTCACCCATTTATTAAAAAGATCGTGTATTAGTTTACGTGTATTTCACTTACCACCGTTTAACCCGACACGTTTAACACTCCTCGGACTAGTTAAATTTTAAAGCTGATAAATTATTATAAATCTCTTATCTATCGTAATTATTGATAGTTGTTGTCTTTGTAATTGATTATTCACCACTACAAGTCTAGTAATTCTAACTGTACCTCCCAGTAAATCCGCATTATCATTCATAATAAATCTTTAATCTATTTTTCAGCTCTTTTAACCCCAAACTTTGTCACACAACCACATAAATTACACCATCACAATCCATGATCTTTTACCCGAACAACTCATCTTTAAATTTCGGACAAAAACTATAAGACCCAGATGTCTGTGTTATTAACTCTTCACAAACAAACATGTACAACTGTAAATTCATGTATTATAGAATAGCATTCCTCAATATATGTGAAACAAATAGGCTAAGGAAAGAGAAAATAAAATAAAATAAAACCGTTTAAGGAATTAACTAACGTACCAATCAGGCGGAGAATTTCTCCGGCGAGACCATCGGAAAATACTGTGAAGGGTTTGAATTCAAAGGGTACAGCCGCAGAAGATGAAGAAATAGAAAAGCATAGCGACCAAGGCGACGGACTCGAGGACAGTCACGACGGTCCACCACACGTTATCGACGATTAAGGAATCGAACAACCACCGGAGGCTCTCCGCCGTCCTACCCGCCGTGAAGTATGACAAGTTAATTGGCCGCCACCGGAAGATCGAGGCTGGTATAGAGAACTCAAATTGAGGCCAACTGAAACTGAAAGTTGACCAGTACCACCACATACACATCTCTCTTGCCTATAAACGNAAAACATCAAAATTTGAGTTTCAATTCGAGACAACTAAGATCGGGTGAACGAGCTCACCTCTCAGCTCAGGTCTTCAAACTCGGACCTCTCATCTCAGGTCTTCCAACTCAGACCTCTCATCTCAGGTCTTCTACCTCAGACCTCTTAGTTTGGACCTCCTAACTCAGGTCTCCCACCTTATAGGCGTAGGTCGAGAACCATCATCAACACGAACCTCGTGCACACTGTGACAGCGACAGCTCACATTTTTANCTGAGAACTCAGAATATTAAAGTGGATGGAGGACTTGAGCAATTATTGGCAGGATTTATTTGGTATTCTTTTGTCGGTCTCTTGAAATGAGATAAATATAAACGTGTTTTGGTAAGGACTGATTTAACCATATTTTTTTTCTTTTTTTTTTTTCGTGTAGTAGGAAAGTGTNCCGAGAACTCAGAATATTAAAGTGGATGGAGGACTTGAGCAATTATTGGCAGGATTTATTGGGTATGCTTTTGTCGGTCTCTTGAAATGAGATAAATATAAACGTGTTTTGGTAAGGACTGATTTAACCATATTTCTTTTCTATTTTTTTTTTCGTGTAGTAGGAAAGTGTGTGAATTATTTTACACGCACTTCGATTAATTTTTTTTTTAATCAGGTTATACATATTGAGATTAAGGAATTCATGATCCGACACCAAAGGAGTTATTAAGTTTCAAACTTAAAATATCTGAATTTTAAGAGAACAAATAATAATAATTCAATTTTGATAGAATTATTATAATAATAATGCTACAAATTTTAAATTACAATGGACCTTTGGATTAATAGATCCCGTNCACGTATTTCGATTAATTTTTTTTTTAATCAGGTTATACATATTGAGACTAAGGAATTCATGATCCGACACCAAAAGAGTTATTAAGTTTTAAACTTAAAATATCTGAATTTTAAGAGAACAAATAATAATAATTCAATTTTGATAGAATTATTATAATAATAANATATAATAATAAATTAAAATTAAACAGGTTAAACGAGTCGTGTCATGTTACCCGTTTATTAAACGGTTTATGTTCGTATTGAGATTTTTCACCCATTTATTAAAAAGATCGTGTATTAGTTTACGTGTATTTCACTTACCACCGTTTAACCCGACACGTTTAACACTCCTCGGACTAGTTAAATTTTAAAGCTGATAAATTATTATAAATCTCTTATCTATCGTAATTATTGATAGTTGTTGTCTTTGTAATTGATTATTCACCACTACAAGTCTAGTAATTCTAACTGTACCTCCCAGTAAATCCGCATTATCATTCATAATAAATCTTTAATCTATTTTTCAGCTCTTTTAACCCCAAACTTTGTCACACAACCACATAAATTACACCATCACAATCCATGATCTTTTACCCGAACAACTCATCTTTAAATTTCGGACAAAAACTATAAGACCCAGATGTCTCTGTTATTAACTCTTCACAAACAAACATGTACAACTGTAAATTCATGTATTATAGAANAAATATAATAATAAATTAAAATTAAACGGGTTAAACGAGTCGTGTCATGTTACCCGTTTATTTAACGGTTCATGTTCGTATTGAAATTTTTCACCCGTTTATTAAAACGATTGTGTATTAGTTTACGTGTTTTTTACTCACCACCGTTTAACCCGACACGTTTAACACTTCTCGGACTAGTTAAATTTTACAGCTGATAAATTATTATAAATCTCTTATCTATCGTAATTATTGATGGTTGTTGTCTTTGTAATTGACTATTCCCCACTACAAGTCTAGTAATTCTAACTGTACCTCCCAGTAAATCCGCATTATCATTCATAATAAATCTTTAACCTATTTTTCAGCTCTTTTAACCCCAAACTTTGTCACACAACCACATAAATTAGACCGTCACAATCCATGATCCTTTACCCGAACAACTCATCTTTAAATTTCGGACAAAAACTATAAGACCCAGATGTCTCTGTGTTATTAACTCTTCACAAACAAACATGTACAACTGTAAATTCATGTATTATAGAATAGCATTCCTCAATATATGTGAAACAAATAGGCTAAGGAAAG